CCAGACCGACGGAGGGGCGCCCGCGGGCGCGGCGGCACGATGGGCCGCTGCACTGGCCGCTGCACGCTCATCTTCCTCTGCGCTTTCCAGCTGGTGAGTGGCGACCCGGTCGCGGCTCCGACCCTCCTCCGCCCCTGCAGTCCCCGCGGACTCGCACCCCGGATTCGCCCGGCTGGGTCCAGCGCCAGCCTCCAGCCGGCCGCCGGGAGAAGGTGGCCCGAACCCTCCGGCTTCCGCGGCCAAAGTTCGCCGCCACCTGGGAGAGCGTGGGGAGCCGGTTCCCTGTGCCTGACTCTGATCGGCCCCTCCCGGTGTGTGTCTGTGCGCGCGCGGGGCCGCCCGCGGGGTCCGGAGCGGCGGGGACAGGTGCCAGAAGCGAATGGAAGGGGGCCGCGCGGAACAAAAGCCTTGGGGCGGGGTGACGGTGATGTGGGGCGCCTGGACCCTGCTCTTGCCCGCACCTCGGACTTGGGCCTTGCGCCGTGGGTGCCCGGGGAGCCCGGCCCGCGCTCAAGAAGTCCGGGTGGGCGCGGCTCCGTCGGGAACGGGGCTGCTGCGCGCGGTGTGCAGTGTCGGAAGGCTCGTGTGGCCCCGGGTATGTGCAGAGGGTGTGCCCAGACGCGCCTTGGTGCGTGTGTTCGGGGGAGGGGGGGTTCCTTTTACTGGAGCCAGCGCCGGGTGCCCACAGAGTGGAGAAGTTCTGTTCCTGAGACCTGACGCCCCCCTGGGGGTGATTGTGAGTTTGCAAGTGTGGGGGTGCAAGCGCCTGGCCCCTGTGTGTGAACCTGGCTGTGCTGGCTTCTGAGTGTGCGAGTGTGGCTCTTCTGGTCCCTGGCACAGCCCACGCTGGAGGAGGTGGACCCCCATTCACCCTGGTGAGATAGAGAGCGAAGGGCTGGAGTACCCGGTGCCAGGGATGCATCTCCGAGGCCTTTTGTGCCCGGGGATTTAGCTGGAGGCTCCCTGGTGAAGAGCTTTGTCAGAGAACTTGGATGTCTCTTGGTCAGGTTTCCATTCTGGAGTCTGAGCTCTGGGAACCAAGGCCATTCCCAAGCCCACTGCTTGCCCAGGAGGACCTACCCGCTAAACAAAGGTTGCAGCCAGTGCTGGTCCTGGGCCGGTGATTCCCTAGCCGTGCATGCTGATGGGCTCCCGGGCCTCATATCTTAAAATGGAAACAGGGCTTTGTGTCTGCACATTGGCTGGGGGTGCCGAGGGCTCAGCTGGGCAGCGACGCTTCCTCCTCCTTCTTGGCAAGAGGCGCAGGAAGGACGGTGAGGCTGTTTTAAAAGACGTCTTAACTAGAGGAGTCCTTGGGCATTGGTGGCTGTGCAGGCAGGCTTTGGTGTCCTGCCCTTTGCTTAGGCGCAGGGACCTGCCCGACGAACTGGCGAGGGGGCCCATCCATACCACCTCACAGCGTCTTGTCCCAAATGAAGGCACCTCCAGGAGCCCCCTGGGGGCGGGAAAGCTCCATGCTGCCCGTGAAGGGCTGGGGTGGGGGACACACAGGGAGGTAGGGCAGAGCGGCCTGCAGGGTTTGTGTGGGGGTGTGTGGGGGTCAGACAGGCTGGAGAGAGAGCCTGGAGCCACTCCCCGAGACTGGGAGGCCCAAGGACTGCTCTACGGACCGTGGAGGCGCTGGAAGCCACTGCAAGTCTCGGAGCTGTAGTGTCACCACCCTTAGTAAGAGGCTCCCCTCGGTGGCAGGAATCCCTTTAGGGGCTGCTATGTGCTGTGGGCCCAAAGAGGAAAGGGGAAGGAAAGGGCAGGAGTGGCTGGTGGGACGGGGAGTGAGGGACAGGGCGCCCTGGCCGGCGCTGAGATTCGGAGTGTAGGAAGTGGCAGAGGGTGGGTATGGATGTCAGGAGGCAGAGCTGCTCTGAGATGGTGGGGACTTCAGTGTGGACTTTGGGGTGAGGGGTGCACTCAGGGTTGGCTGGGTGGGAGGGGTAGATGTGGGAGTCCCCTGTGCTGATGACTCAGGGCCGAATGTGACCTCAGGGCTTGGAGGGACCAGCCTGGGTCATGCTGCCCATTTTAACCCCATGGTGGACAGTGAGGGCAGGCAGGGCCGGGCAGGCGTCTGCAAGTTTGCTTGTAGCTGGGGAGAAGGGTCCCCTCGACTTGAGGAAAACGGGGCTCCCCTCGACCTGGGCTTCTCACAGATGCCCAGTCTCAGCCAGTGGCCCCAGGAGGGCAGAGCACAGCTGCACTCTGATGCGGTGGGGCCTGTGAAAGGTGTCCTATTCTGCTGAGACCAAGTGGAGGGCCATCTGTCCAGCCTGGGGGGAGTAAAGCCAACTGACACCCCCAGTACTCTGGTCGCTGTGTGCGGGGAGCACAGGGCGGGCGGGGAGGGAGTCCTGCGGCTGTCTTTCTTTTTGTGACAAGCGTGAGAGTTTTCTCGTTACCAGGCTACGGGACAAAGAGCTGAGCACCTCTTCTGGAGCCTTCCCGGAAGAATAGTGTGAACTTTGCCTGCTTGTAGCCTGCATGGACGCCGCGGGGACTGTTTCCCAGGCGGGCTCCATCACATTGACAAGAGAGGGAGCAAGGGGCCTGGGGGGGCCACCAGAGCTAAGTCACTGGGCGCCATGGACACCTGAGTTCAGCTGACAGCACCCATCTCTGCGAGAGGCTCGCTGTCCCATGAATGTCACCCTGGTGCCCTGCAACAGTGAGACTTTGGGGCCCTGGCATAAGCACTAAACAGATGCCCGTCCCGTCCCAGCTGGCCATGGCTGGCCACCCCGCCCAGGCCTGAGGTCTTCCCTATTCCAGACACAGCACCAGGCTGCTTGAAGGGAAATTCCTTGAACAGGTGGCCCAGGCAGGCAGGGAGGCTCCTGGCTGCCCTAGGCGTAACTGACTCTCCCTCACTGCTGGACCGTCAGGAGCGTCCATGCCCACTCTCCGTGGTAGGTCACACCCCAAGGACAGCTGTGCAGCCTCAGCTCCTTGCTGGAGGATAGTTGAAGCAGAGATTCCCGGGTCGATGGTGAAGGGCAGGATTCTGGATATGTGCCCCACGTGCGGGCTGTGGAAAGGCCCTTGTGGCACTGGGGTTCTTGGTGGTGGGGGGCTGCACCCCACATTTGCCAACAATGGTCGTGGTAGCTGGCCAAGATGGGGCACCGTTCTCTCTAATCCGGCACGCCTCGATGGCTGTGATGTGGACTGAGGCCCGGGGGTGTGGGTGTGTGAGCGTGGAGCTCAGTCTCAGGCACCTGGGCGCAGGCGGAGCATGGGGGTGATGTGGGCCCAGTGCTGCGCAGTGGGGATGTCGCTGATCCCGACAGGTCTCCAGGGGTGCCGACTCAGCCGTAGGTTGGCAGTGGACCCGTGGCTGGAGCACCATCCCCCGGGGTGGGGGGGGGGGAGAACTGACTGTCCTGTTCTCGGGTCGGTGTGGCTACCGAGCTGCCCCGTTTTCCCTGCTGAGCTCTTCTGCCCTGGCCGTTCACTCACTCTCCTCCAGGATGGCTGGGAGGGCACCAGCTCTGCCTGCCAGGAACTCAGTCTAGATGGACGGGAAGACAAGGGAGCCCCCTCTGATATCGGGGAGTGGGAAGTGAGGTGGGGACCCCCAGCCCCTCCTATCAGTGCTCTGGCTGGGGCATCTCCAACCCGTCAGGACACCCAGTGAAGGTTCCTGCTCTCACGGTGCCGGGAAAGAGGAGATACTCGGGGCCAGATGGGGGTCAGCGGCCCTGTGAGCCTGCGGCTTTGTGGGGGCCCTCTTTGGCCTGGGGTCCTGAACTCAGCTCTCCCCCAGCCCAGGGCCCAGTCTCTGCAGAGGTCAGTGGGGTGCTGAACAGACAGCCTACACGTTCCTTGGGGCACGGGAGGGGAGCGGTCCAGCCAGCATCCCCCAGGGAGAACCAGGCTGGGCCAGTGGCCTGGGCAGGCACTTCCCCTGGGGGCGCAAGTCCCCTGCTGCCTGAGGGAGGCTGACCCAGCCGCCGTGATCTGTGGTTGCTCAGTCCGGAATCCCGGGCCTTGTGTCAGGGCAGGGCCTGCTGGTGGATGGCAAGTCATAGACGAGCGTCTGCCTGTACCGCAGACACGTTACCTGTGGGCTCCTGAGGTTCTGTCCCAGCTGCCCAGGGAGCTACAGGGTGGGGTGGGACTCTGGTCTGGCTGCAGGGGCCTGACTACGGAAAATTGCGTCTAGGGCAATTAGTGTTACATTGCTGAATGATCTCTCAGCTGGCGATGGACGCTGTGATGGCCGGTATAAACTGCTCGCTGGAGCCCACCTGGGGCACGCAGGCGCAGACGAGGCTGGGGCACGTGCTCTACCTGTCTACTCCACCCCCCCCACCAGTTAGGCCTCTGCGCGGCTGTCCTCAGCCCTCCCCTCTTCTCTGACCCCTCTTTGCTCCAGCTGCAAGCCCTGCCAGCGCCTTCTCTGGAACCTTTAAAAACCAGAGGTCCAGCCCCAGCCTTGAGGTTCAGGCTTATTGGTGTGGGTGGGGCCCAAGCATGGGCATTAGAGCAAAATTCAGCCTGGGGTGAGAACTGCCGCCACTTTGCCCGCCGCCCTCTCACACCCGCCTGAGACTCGCTGTGGTTCTCTCTGCCTGTTTCCTCGACAGCTCCAGCTGGCGAACTCCTACCCATACTTCAGGACTCAGCCTGGGTGTCACCTCCTCTAGGGAGCCTGCCCTGATTCGGTGCCCCTGTCCCTGCTCCCAGGGGCCCTGTGTAGACCCATCTCACAGTCTTAGTGGCGAGGAGGGCTGAGCCGCCTCCCTGCTATGCCCCCATGCCACCCTCTTCCAGGAGCTATGGGACTTTCACGGCCGACTTGCTCTGCCCATCTCCCCTGGGAGGCAGGGAGGTCACAGCTGCAATCCCTAGCCCAGCTCCGAACAACCCTGAGCCTGAAGCTCTGCTCTTGCCAACTGTGAGGCATGCGGACAGGATCAGGCTGCTTCCAGAAAGGTCCAGGGCTTCTGGCATCACCAGCAGCCCACCACATCCTGGCCAGCAGAGACCCCCTTCAGCCATCCTGGCGCCCTGCCCCACCATGTCTGTTCTTGGCGGCCTCTCCACTGAGCTCCTGGCTTAAACCCCTGCTTTTCGGTGACGTGCCTTGGCATCCTCCTTCTCTGGTGGCTGCCTGCCCTGAGGTCGGTCTTTTCAGGGAAGTCAAGTGAGGTTGGCTGAAGCCCAGACCGCAGTGGTGGCCCTACAAGTGCCCGAGCCAAGTCCTTGGAGACCATCTGCTGTTTCTCACAGCTGAGGACTTCTGTCCTCACTGTCCTCAGAGCCCTGCCCCCTCCAGTCCCATCCCCCACTTGCACACCTAAGCCGACCACACGCAGCGGCCCCAGGACCTCTGCACAGACTGCTTGTCTCCTCCTTGGCCCCCTGACAAGTCGCGGCCATCTCACCTGAGGTCTGAGCGTCAGCACGGCCTCCTCAGAGACTTCCTGGGACCCCGCTCTGCCTCATTGTTTCTGGAAGGGTGATTTTACATGCCATTTCACCCACCTCCCTCCCCACCACCCTGCGGACTCCTCAAGGTGGAGGGCACCTCTCTGTCCTCTGTGGTGTCCAGCCTGGCACATGGCACGTGCTTGGGCAATATGGGGCCCATGAATGAATGACTGCATCACTCAGGGAATGAATGATGGGGTCCCAGGTGTCCAGGTGACAGCCAGCCTCTCGAGGGTCACAGCTGCTGCCCACACTGGCAGTCCTGCGCTTTGAAGTGCTCGTTCCCATGCTGGCCTCCCACCCTGATGCCCGGCCAGGGCTGTGGAATTCTGGGCGGGCTGGCTGGTCCTTCTGTGTGTCTGACTGGCTGTCTCTGCTGCTGTTGGTTCTCCGTGGCTGGCCACATTCCCTGGGGCGCCTGGAGGGTGAGGAGCGGGTCTGTGTGTGGAAGCTTAGGGGTGGAGAGAGGGTCGGCTTCTGTTTGTTGTCACGGCGATTTTGGCCACTGTCTACGTGCTTGGCCCTGAGGAGGGTCCTGCGCTGAGCCCGGGGTTTCAGCCTCTTCTGCACGCACAGAGCCTTCCGCCACCATGAGGCCCATTCACAGACAGGAACGTGTGGGCTTCGGAGACAAACGGTGCCAGGTGGGGAGGCTGTGGTGGCAGGGGCCTCCAGGAGCTGGAGCTGAGGCCTCAGTCCCAGGAGGAGGTGACCTCTGCCAATAGCAGGGAGCCTGGAGGAGCGCCCCAGCCTTGGATGAGCCCACCCGGGCCGACACTGTGATTGCAGTCTGGTGAGCCTGGAGCAGAGGGCCCGGCTGGCATGTGCCCGGACTCTTGACCCACAAAGTCTGTGTGATGACACAGGGTATTGTTTAAGCCATTAACCTGTGTTTGTTACGCAGCTACAGCTGCCTGTTACGCCCACCTTGGTCAGTCGGTCGTGAGCTGTGGCCAGAGCTCCTGCCCTGGCCCAGACGCACCTGCCCCCAGGGGGGTTGGCGGCACCACCTTTGTCTCAGTGTAAACAGCTGGCACGGCCCACCCTCCCGGGGTGTCCTCTCTCCAGCGGGGTGTGAGAGCCCTGGAGAAAAGCCACTGTCTGACAGAAAGGACTTGGTGTTCAGGAGCGGCGCCAGCTTCCCCTGGCACTAGCTGAAGTGCCTGTGCCCCGTGTGTGAGCAGGGCCCTCCCGGGGGTCTGGGCCTTGGTGAAGGGCTGGAATTAGGGCTTATTTTCAGCAGCGGGAATGGAGGCAAGGGAGGCTTCTAGCCCATGGTTTTGCACCTGATTGTCTTAGCAAGCGAAACCTGACATCAGCGCTGGCAGGTCCCACAAAGGCCCTGGCATCCTCCCAGGGGCGCTGGCGTCCTGCCCTCGGGCTGCGGACTCCGTGCCTCTTGTGGGTGCGTTGATGGGACGCCCAGGGGCACAGTCACGTTGGGTAAACACCAGGCAGGTTTGAAATCCATGCACACCGCCCGTGGGACCAGTCCAGGGGAAGTGCCCCCCAGGGCCCAGACTGAGCGTAACCACCAGGAGGGTCCGGGGGTCCCACAGCAGTGGGGTGGGGGCTGTCCTGCTGGCCGCATGATCCAGGGGAGTGAGTGAGCCCCTAAGAGCAGGGGTGAGTGTGGACCTGGGAAACCTGGCATGGAGGCCGCCCCATGGGCTCCTCGGGGCCTGGCTTTGGGCACAGGGGAGGGGGGGCTTGCACTGTGTGGGCAGAGGAGGGAAGACAGGTGACAAGCCTGTGCAGCCCCAGGTCCTGGGGACAGCCCCAGAGCTCAGCTTGTTCCCATGGGGCGAGAGTCCCGGGTATGAACCCCGTGCCCCATCCGAGCTTCCTATTCCAACCTGAGCCGTGAGCGTGAAGCCCTCACTTAGAGGTGGAAGGTTAAGCCCAGCGTTCCTGCTGTGCTGGGGGTTTGCTGTTTGAGGTGAGATGAGGGAACCCTGCCTGAGCAGGTGGGTTACAGGCCCGCAGGGTTGGACAGTGAGAGACAGCGGCCAGCACCCGGGCGGGACAGTAACACACACGGAGAGCTTCCGCTGGCCTGTGCTTTCCTCCCCAAGCGGCCCACAGCTGTCTCCTAGGGTGGACCCCAGCCCTTGGGACATGCTCAGAATATCCCCCACTCCAAGGTTTCCTGGAAACAGCTGTCCCCCACATCCCCCCCACCCCGCCATTCCACGCAGCTGGCACCGTGCCCTGGGGAGTGACACTGTGACACAGCAGCTGCTCCTGGAGGCTGGTCAGGAGTCCAAGTGCCCTGTTCTCTGTGCCCTGAACCCCGTGCCCCATGCCCCACACCCTGTGCCCTGCACCCTGCGCCCCACACCCTGCACCCTGCACCCCACGCCCTGTGCCTCATGCTCTGCACTTGGCACCATGCAGGCCACTGTGTGGTCCTGCAGCCCCGTGCAGCTGTACCAGTGTGTTCCGTTTCCCAGAGGAGGAGCCTGAGGACAAGGAGGGCGGGCCTGCTGGAGGGAGGGTCTTGTGAGACGGAAGGTTTGAGGGCTCCTTTTGGAGCACCTGGCGGGACCGCTGGGCTGGTGGGTTTGTCTAGGGGGCCCTGTAGGTAAAGTCTGGATGTGGTGGGCGCCCTGGCTACCTGGTGGGATGAGTGCACAGGGTCCTGTGAGTCGGCACGGCCAGCTCCTCACTGAGGGACGGGGCAGGCGGGGTGGGGGGCGTCGGAGGGACGCCATGGAGGTGTGCCGCCCTCACCCGCTTGCTGCTGCCCCAGGTCACAGCGCTGGAGAGGCAGGTGTTTGACTTCCTTGGCTACCAGTGGGCGCCCATCCTGGCCAACTTCATCCACATTGTCCTTGTCATCCTGGGGCTCTTCGGCACGGTTCAGTACCGGCCACGCTACGTTGTCACGGTGAGTCCACCAGCGAAGTCCTGCCTGTCTGTCCTGGGAGCCGCAGAACACAGTGTTTCTGTCCCCACGCTGTCTGTCCCAGGGTGCCAGGCCAGAGCCTTTGGACAGTGGGCGGCTAGAATCCTGATTTAGAAAGTGGTTTCTGGGAGCCGCTACATATTCTGAGAAGGCACGGGCACTTCCCAGGCCTTCACTAAATCATCTGCTCAGTAGCCAGGGGATGTGCATGCTGGTGTGAACCTGCTTTACACAGGGGTAAACCAAGATGCAGAGAGCCTTCCAGCTGACAAAGGGCAGGTGTAAGCCCAGCCCACCCCCTCACACTCTGCCCTCCCACCGCGGAGAAGGGAAGTTTTGCTGTGATCTGTGCGATGCTTTCATTTGTGGAGATAAAGTAATTTATGCAGATCAGGGGTTGGCAGACTTCTCTGTAAGGGCCCAGAGAGTAGACATTTTCAGCTTTGCAGGCTACGCGGTTTCTGCCCAAACTACTCAGCTCTGCTGTCTGGGCACAAAAGCAGCCACAGACGATACAGAAATGAATGGGTGTGGCTGTGTGACAACAAAGGTTTATTTACAAAGGTGGGCAGTGGGCCACGATTGGAGACTCTGGCCGAGAAGATGCTGAGCTGTTGCTGCTCCTGTCTGGGCCCTTCTAGGGGAAACCCCGTCCACTCTGTCATTGCCAGCATCCCTGCTGTCAGTGGAACACCAACGCGGGCTCGCTCTCACTCTGGTCCTGCCCCCGCCCCTGCTCTATCCCTGCAGTGGCCACCACTGACCCCACAGAGGAGGAGAACTTGTTCAATCCCCTGGTGAGGCCAGGAGCACTGGGCTTGGCCACTGCGAGACCAGGAGGAGCCTCTGGTGGGGCAGGGGGTCCACTCTTCATTTTGTAGGCAGGTTTTCCTGCAAACGTGAGGTCTCCCTTGTCGACCCCAGAGGGAAAAGGGACACCAGAAAAGGGAAAGCCCTGCCCACAGGCACAGGCAGGACCTGCTCCAGCCCTCCTGGCCCTCGGAGCTCACTGGCCCAGGAGAGAGAAGGGCTCAGTCCAGGCTCCGCCCTTGTCTCCGGGTAGCAGGAGGGCAGAGGGGACGAGGCCGGCCGTTCCAGTGAAGGACTCTGAAGCCAGTAACACGTCTTCTGGGGTTGGGGGGGGGCTGGGCTGTTTGCAGGTGGGGATCTGCAGGAACAGGAGTGGCCCGTGGGGCGGGTGGTGGCCTAGGGTCCTCCCCGTCTCCCAGGGGCAAGGGGCCCTTCCCCATGCTCTGCAGTTAAGGCCACTGTGCCCTGGTCACTGGCCCCTTGGATGGCCACGCTGTCCTTGGTGAGGGCTGCTATTTCTGGAGATGGTTCTCCCGGACCGACTGCCGGGGCTTCCTTGCGAGCATTGCTGCTTACCCACAAGCTGGCAGCCTGGGGCCCTCAGATAGGCCTCGGACCGTCGGAGTCTCCCTGAGGGTGTTGATGAAGCAGGTGGGTCCCCCCTCCGTGAAGAGCAGAGTTTAACCACCGCCCTCCCCTCTCACCTCGGCAGTACGCTGTGTGGGCGGCTGCCTGGGTCACCTGGAATGTCTTCATCATCTGCTTCTACCTGGAAGTGGGGGGCCTCTCGAAGGTGAGTGACGGGGCAGGCAGGACCATCTTCCACAGCTTGCTCACTAGCCCCGGCTGGGCTGGGGTGGGTGGGGGTGTCCGCGGCCCAGCGCTAACCCGTCCTTCCCTCGCCCCAGGACAGCCAGCTCCTGACCTTCAACCTCTCCCAGCACCGCTCCTGGTGGCGCGAGCACGGGCCAGGCTGTGTGCCTGAGGAGGTGCTGCCCACCAGCCTTAGGCTCCTGGACCACCAGGCCCTGTTGTCAGGCAGTGGCTGCACCCTGGAGCACCGTTACATAGAGGCCTTGCACAGCGCCCTTCAGGTCCTGGTGGCGGTGAGCGTGGCCGGCGGGCCGGGGGTGCAGTGGGAGGGGGCTTGTCACCAGGGAGTGACAGTCAGGGAGGGGGCTGGCCCCCAGAGATTCTCCTCCTGCTTTCCTCCCACACAGGGAGCCTCTGCACTGGGATCCCCGTTGCTCCCGTCCCCCACACCCACCCCCAGGAAATATGAAGTTGGGGTTGGGGGGCTCAGCGCTGCCCTGGCCCCAGACGGGCCACTCAACCTCTCTGTGCCTCGATTTTCTCCCCTGTGAAATGAGGGCAGTAGTACCCTCCACAGAGTGTCGCTGCAGGGCTGAGCGTTTCAGCACCACGGCCAGCTCCAGGCTCCACAGCCCAGGCTCCGCGTGGTCTCCCTCTCCGAGGGCCTCTCCCTGCACCGCCTCCCCTCCAAGGACCCCCTCACACACTGGCCAGCCCTCACCTAGCTCACCAAGCCTCTCGTCAGGCCCCGCTGGAGAAGCCTGAACTGTATCTGGGACTTCAGAGCCAGACAGGGAAACCAAGGCCCAGGAGCCCGTGACCTGTGGTTGGGGACATGGTGACCTCTGCCCTCAGCCCTGCGAGCTCACCTGGTGGGCGGGTCTCATCCGGACTCTGCTCTGTGTCTTTCAGCTCGCGGGGTTTGTCTACGCCTGCTACGTGGTCAGCGTGCTTACGGAGGGGGAGGACAGCTGTGAGTAAGCAGCCGCCCACCCAAGCCGGATGTGGGGGTCCCCCAGGCCTGGTCAGGGGGAGGGAGGGAGGCTGAGGGCAGGCAGCGGGATGGTGGTCCTCAGTCTTCCTTTTGCCCCTTCCCTCTTTGGTCAGGCTGCCCCGTCCCCAGTGGGTCCTCGTTTGATTCTGTAGGCCTGAGAAGGGAAGGACAGCTGGGCTCCCTCTTCTCCTCCCCTCAGGGCTGCTGGTGGAAAGAGGGGCCCTGGGGGCCTCACATACCATCAGGCTTGGGCCCTGGGGCCCTCATGTGCAGTCATGCCCCCAGGCCTGGGCCCTCTGGCAGCATTTTAATTCCCTCCATTCTTTCTTCCGGTTTCAATGTGAAGTTGTTAACACCCTGCAGAGACCCTGCAGAGTAGGACAAGGGGGGTGGTGTGGGGAGGTGGGAACCCGGCTGAGGGCCCCGTGACGGGAACCTTCTGGGGGTCAGAACCGACTCCCACAGAGGGAACCTTGCAGGGTCAGAATCAGCACCCAGGGATGGAGCCCTCCCAGGGGTCAGAATCAGCACCCAGGGATGGAGCCCTCCCAGGGGTCAGAATCAGCACCCAGGGATGGAGCCCTCCCAGGGGTCAGAATCAGCACCCAGGGATGGAGCCCTCCCAGGGGTCAGACTCGAGCATTCATAGCCATCTGTGCCCAAGAGTCAGGAGGCCATGGGGTAGGGAGTCTTTGTGTGCAAATGACACCCCACAGTCGAGAGCCTGGGCTTGCCCCCCACCCCGTGGGAGGCTCCAAGAGCACGCCCCCTCCGCTTGTCGTAAGCACAGGGGCTCGTGAAGCTAGGACCACCCTGGCTGCTGGGAAAGAAGCCAACTGGGCTTTGCGTTTCCATTGCATTCAAGTGGCTTAAGGGGAGAAATGCATCAAATGTGCCCGGCTTCTGTGGCCACCCACCCGCTGCTCAGCCACCAGCTTACTTGGCCACCTACTAGCTCAACCTGGCCACCCACCAGCTCAATCTGACCACCCACCAGCTCAGCCGGCCACCCACCAGCACACCTGGCCACCCATCATCATGCCCTGACGACCCACCAGCATGCCCCAGTTACCCACCAGCGTACCCCAGCCATAGCCTCCCACCAGGTGCATGATGGATGTTTGCGAACATGTGTGGTGGGGGTGTGCCTTGGAGAGCAGCCTGGGCCCCGCCCCCACCCGGTCTCCAAGCATCGATGCTCATCCCTGCTCCGTCCCACTGGTCATGTCTGAGGATCCCCACGTGCCCGGGGCTGCGACCCATGCCCCTTGTTTCAATCTGTTTAAATCCTAGCACTATTTCATCTCCAGAGAGAGACCCCTCGGGCGCCAGGCAGAGTCTGGAGTTCTGAACTTGGGGAGGGGTTGGGGGTATCTGTCCTCCCCCGAGGGTCCCGTCGCTCCTGTTTCTGCCGTCACCACAGGAAGCATCCTGCAGCTGCGTTGTCCTCCATCCTGCCATCTCTTCCATCATTGGGGTTTCATTTGGGTCTTGATTTCTTTCAGTTGATTTCATTGGTGGATTTGATCCATCTCCTCTCTACCATGTCAGTGAAAAACCTTCCCACCTCTTGTTCAAGCAGGCGCACTTGTAAGTATGGACAGTGGGGCTCCTCCATGGCAGGGCCTACCCAGTGGGGTTACTCTCGGCCACTAGGCTCCGCTCTTGGGGAGCCTCAATCAGGTGTCGCCCTCTGTCCATCTTTCCATCCATCCATCCATCCACCCACCCACCCTTTTCACTTTCATGCCAGGCTCTGGGTTGGGCATAGGGGGTCACTGAGGGCTCCCCATGGAGCTCAGACTCCAACAGGAGAGGACAAGTCTGTAGGAGTCACATTAGCAGAGTCGGCGCTGAGCCTGCTTTGTGCAAAGGGTCTGGGGTGGCCCCAGGAGGCAAGGAGGATGACATGCGAGTCTCCAGGTCTCACCATGGCTAGAAAGTTGGGGTGTAGTCTCCTGTCCTTGAGGTTCAGACTTCTTTCCCGAAAGGCAGTGTCTATGGCGTTGCCCACCCCAGGCCGCGGGGTCTGCTCTTCTGAGCAAGTCTTCGTCACCTGGCTCTGCCTGTGTGTTCTGCTGAACGTGGGGCTCAGAAGGGGGGCCTGGCGGTCCACTCGGTAAAGCCTGTGGCTGCGCCCAGTGCTTTGGCCCTTCTATTCTGTGGGTTCAGGGCCCTCAGAGGTGGCAGGGGTCCACCTCTCGTTACAGATGAGGAAACAGGGACCTTGAAAGGGGACAGCCCTCACCAGCCCCCAGCCTAGGCAGCGTTCACCGGTGCTAACAGCTGGGCACCCAGACCTCTGAAGGAGGCTCCCTCCGTGCTGCCTGGGGGGCTGGGTGGGCAGAGCCCCCCAGACTGGGTGGGCCTTTGGGGGTTTTACCTCCATCTAGGAGGCTGGGGGCAGGAGGACAGTGACCCAGAGTGATGAAGCCCCTCACTCTGCTTCCAGCCCCTGGCCCCGGTGCTCCCTGGGAGAAGGCCCTGCCTGACCCGGCCGGGGGCCACACCTGGGCCGAGTCCTTCCAGAATGCCCAGCCCTGCCCTGTGTCACATGGCCAGGAGCCCCCCCTCCTGGATTTCAAGCTCTCCGAGGGAGAGGGGACAGCAGCCCCTGGCAGTGGCCACCCCGCTGGCACCCCTGACCCCTGCCTTGTCCCCCACAGGCCGGCGTAAGTGAGGAAGCATCCAAGCTGCTGTGACTTCCTGGCTCAGACTGTGACCACCGCCACCCACGGCCCACCACTGGGGGACTCAGGCTGCAGACCCCTCGCCTCCCTGCCCAGAACATCCCCTTCCCCTCAGGCCTCAGCCAGTTCAAATGGCTGGACATCAGCGACGGTGGCAGGGCAGGGCTGTGGCCGCTGCAACTTTGAAAGATTTTGTAATTTCTTTTTTCAAAAGAAAAAGAAAACAAGGCACAGGATAAAAGAAGAGAAAAAAACACGTCCCTTGCTCTCCTCCCACCACTGGCCCCTGGTTGCCACCAGTAGGACACCAGGCTGGGGACTGCTGTCTGAGCCCCGTCCTGTGGTGCTCTGTGCAGTGCGAGTTGCTGGGGTGCTGGCCAGGGGGTCAGAGAGCCAGGAGGGTGCACCCTGTGTGGGTGGGTGTGAGCGCACGTGGTCGCACCCACGGCCGCAGGGCCCATTGACACGCCTCACGCTGCCTGGCGCATGTTTTCCCACTGTGGGTTGAGCCAGGGGTGCCGGAGACTGAGGCTCGGTCCCCAGCACAGGGGGTGTATTGTGACACTGGGGTATGGGGTTCCGAAAAAGATCTAGTGAAATAGAACCCCCTAGGCAGCCAAGTAGACGAAAACACGGAGCCCTCCTCCAGCAGTCTGGCCGTAATGCTGGAGTCTGGTGTCAGAAGTGGCCCTGGAAGCGGCAGTTCTCAAAGTCCCTAAAATGCTGGAAGGATAGGGACTGGGACGGTGAGGGGGTCCCGAGGCGAGAGCCCTCAATGGTGGGGTTTGGGGAAATGGCTGGAATCCCCGAGCCCTTGGTGCTGTCCCCTGCTGGTGAAGAGCGGCGAAGACAGGGCCGCGGAGCCGCCGGGAAAAACTTTCACTTTATTGAGAATCTTCAAAATGCCCAGACTGAGTACAGTAAAACTACCCCTCCCCACCCGTCCACGCCCCCTCCTCCGGCCTCGGCGGCTGTCCTGGAGTCAGGGCTGGTCAGCTCTGGTCGCCCGTTCAGCGTCCTCAGCGGACCCCGAGGCAGGAACTCATACCCACTCCGTGGTCCGAAGGGAAGGCCCTTGGCAGCTGCTGGGCCCCGGCTGAGCGCTGGACGGAGAGGGGGCAGGGGAGTCAGGGGCTCCCAGGGGCTTATCTACCCAGCCAGGGCCTCAGCCCCCAGGGACCGCCCAGCGATGGTGGTCCCTCCACTCCCCACCCCGGAAGACAGAGAAGGCCCCACACCTGTCCTTAGCAACGTGCAGCCCGCTTCGGTAATAATCACTGATAAGAAGTTCATGCCCCCCCGCCCCCCAATCCATGGATTTCCTCCAGCCTCAGCGCCCGGGGAAGACGGATCCCCATCTGCACCACAGGGGCGGGCAGAGGCCAGCAAAGGGATCGTAGGAGCCAATCAGGGGGTGGGGCCAATCAGGGGGCGGGGCCAATCAGGGGGCGGGACCAATCGGGCGTGTTGAGGACTCAGAAGCGTCCGGATCTCTCGGGAGGGCGGGGGTGCAGCGAGGCCTGCGGGGCCCACACGGGGCCCGCGGAGGAGTCAGGGATGCTGCCACGCTCCGCGGAGTGGCCGAGCTTGCGAGCTGCTCAGAATTTGCTCAGGGCACGGCCACCCTTCCCAACAGGTCCCCTTACGGGGGCCTGGGCGGGGAGAAAGCTGCTGGCGGAGGCCCCTCTGGGTCTGACGGAGGATTGGACTGGGTTTCCCAGGCACCGAGGGCCGCCCCGTGGCGCTCACCTGGCCTAGGACAGAAAGGTGCGGACGCAGCTACGGATAGGCGCCCGGCAGATGGGGCACAGGCGCAGGTTGGGGGCGCACTCAGTGCAGACCAGGTGGCCGCAGGGCACGAAGACCACGCCCACCTCGCGGTCCAGGCACACCTTGCAGGTGCGCTCCTGCCGCAGGCGCCTCAGCTGCTCCTCGGTGCTCTCGGCTCCTGGGGGCGGGGGGGGGGGGCGGGGGGAGGCATTTGGCCCATCTGGCCAGGAGAGGACACAGAGGAGCTATGGGTCTTGTTTCCATTCCAGAGAGCTGCCGCCGGGGGGGGGGGGGGGGGGGGCGGGGTGAGGAGCACACTGCCCATCCCAGGTCTGGACACTGCCCCCACCCCTCTGACCCAGCTGGCGGCCTCTGCCCTCCCCTTCCACCCACCCTGCCCCCAGGTGGAAGAGCAGACCCCTACCTCAGGGTCCCACCCAAACCTGAGTCCTCAGTGCCCTCAAGGTGGCTGTCCCTTCTGAGTGTAGGCAGATCTAGGCCCCCGTGGACAGGAGCTGTGGGCAGTTCACAAGAGTCGGGCGTGGGGAAGGCGTGTACAGGGCAATGATGGCGGTGCCCATCACCCGGCCCCTCCCTGCCTGCTGCCTCCTCCTCCAGCACCGAGGTCCCAGGTCTCCTGACTGAGCCCAGAGGCCTCCTGACTGAGCCCAGAGGCCTCCTAGAGGGGCTGCCAAAGGGCCCCCTCCTCGGCCGGGTGCTCTGTCCACCCAGCTCCCCCTTGGGGGACAAGGGCGCTCCATGCTGGGCACTCAGGGTGACAGTGCCCAGAGGGATGAGCAGAGAGAACAGAGGTGCGCCCTCCCGCCCAGGCCAGGCAGCCTTTGCTCCCCTTGCTGTCCAGCAGGATTCAGACACTCAGTGGCCTCAGCACAGTGCAGGCTGCAGGGGCCCAGGGAAAGCTCCCTCACCTGTGGGGGTGGCGTGTCCTGGTTCTTCCAGTGGGTCCTGGAAGGAGCCAGAGAACATCTATGCCAAAGTCCAAGGAAGAGCAAGGGTGGGAGGGACCCTCGCTGACCACCCCCATAGGCCCTAGAGAGGCAGGAAACTCACCCAGGACCTGAGCAGGGGGGAGTACGAGTCCTGGACACTGCGGACAAAGCCCCTTCCTTTTGACTGAAGCAAGAATTCACACCTGAAGAAAGTGAGTTCAGAAGCCCCACAGACAGTGGACTTGGCTGTCAGAGAAGCTCCCCCCACCCCCTTGGGAGACCCTCAGGGCTAGGGATGGAGCCTTCTGCTCCTGTTCACCCTGCAGCACCCTGTGGAGGGATGTGGGGCTCCCTGAGTGCTGGGCACTTGATTGGAAAGGCTGTTTTGGAAACAGCCTCTGTCAAGCATCAAGGAGAAACAGCAATGGAAGAAGCATTTCTGCTCCCCCGTGGCCCTTCCAAAAATGGGGGCCTACTTGTAAAAAAAGGTCTGATGTGTGCCACCCAAGAGGAGCAGCCCCCAACTCCAAGGCTGTAGAGGTAGGGGAAGGAGGGGATGGGGAGAGGGAGAGGATGGGAGAGGGAAGGGGAGG